CCCCCCTTCCTCCTTCTTCCTCCCACCTTATATACTGGGCATGATGTCATATGGTATGGAATATCCCTTTGGTCAGTTTGGGTCACCTGTCCCAGCTGTGTCTCCTCCCAATCTCCCATGCATCCCCAACTTCCTTCCCAGCGTGGCAGTACGGAAAGCAGCAAAGGCCTTGACTCTGTGTAAGCTCTGCTCAGCAATAACAAAAACATCTCTGCATTATCAACTCTGTGTTCTGCACAAAACCCAAACATAGCATCATACTAGCCTCTGTGAAGAATGTTAACTCTACTTCAGCTCAAACCAGCACAGTCTGATAAAGAGACACATGCACACACAAGGACCCACAGACTAATGTTCCGTTCCCCCAGCCAGGGCCTGTGCTGAAGCCACAGGGGATAGGAACACTTCAAAGCCAGGTGCCCTGCACTTGTCATGGAGACTCACCTAACATTTCTCATGGCCTGTCATAAAGATGTGTTGCACAGAGGTAAAAGCTTGTCTCCTCTGCCCGAGATGTGACAGGGTGCACACAGAACCTGTCCCTTGGCTGTCTTCTCTGTGGCTCATTGCACACCTGCAGCACCCTGGGAGCATGGAGCATGTGGGTGTGCAGGGGAGCACAGGTGCCCATGTGGTGTATTTGAGGTGGGAGACAGAGCTTGTTCTGTTTGCTTGTGCTTTCTGCAGGGGATGGGTTTGCTTGTCCTGATTGCTGTGAACAGTGGGACAGAGCATGTGTCCCTACTTCTCTCTCTGCAATCTAATTAGAGCCAAATTCCAGCACCACTCAGGTCGTGGTGTCAGAAGCATTTTCAGTCAGCTGCGGAAATGAATCTTTTACCTCTCAGCTTATCAGCAGGGTCCATAACTCTCCTGAAAAACAGCCACGTGTGCTGATTCATTGCCCAGGGATGGAGATGTCTGTGTCTTGTTGCTGTCTCACATCTTGCTGAGAGCTGGGACAGAGCAGCAGTGTCAGAGGAGACAGTGGCTGGGTGAGTTTTCCCACAGGGCCAGCTGAATGTCTGAGGGGGCTTACAGGCAAGTGGAAAGTTAGCTGGGGAGGTTGAAAGCTTGAATGGGCAAGAGGCAAGATGCTGCACTTATTTGCCAAGGGGACAGAGAGGTGCAAGTAGACATGAGAAAGAACTTAAGCAGATAGTGAAAATGGAGAGATTTGTGATCATAAAGAAAAGACTGTCTTGAAACTGCTGGAGCCAGTTTGGGAGGTGGTCCTGACCACTCAGCATCTTTCTGCATCTCCCCATGGTGCTTATGCCTGGTAAAAGAAATGCACACTTTGTCCCCAGCCTGGGGATGTGCAGCTTCCAGTCTTAGCTAGGCATGAGATCCCAGGCTGCAAATGGGGCTTCTCTTTTTCCCTTAGCACAACAAGGCAATATTCAGATGGGTTTCAATGCCAAATGCTTGCTTTCTGCCAGCCTGCCAGCCAGAATGGGTGATGAAGGCTCCCACGTCACTAGTGGTGCTCGCTCAGCCATGATTCTCCCTTTCTGGCTGTAGTTAATGGGGTTTTAACCCACTTA